AAATAAAAAATGAAAAACAACTAAAAGTCATTTTTTATTTCTCTCTCATTTTACACTAAACAAAAAAAAAATCATTTTCACTTCTATTTTTTGTTTTTATTTCACCAAACGCCGTTTTAAAAAAATTTTCACTTTTTTTCTCAAAAAACGTAAAAAATAAAAACATGATCAATTCTAAACACAGCCGTTATTTTTTTTTTTCACCTAACTATTAAGAGGCAATCTGTTTTTTAAGGGTGGGGGTTTCGTTGCCCCGATTTCGTTGCTTTACTTTTTTTCCCATTTTATTTAGTTTTTTTTTTTTAAGTTTTTACTTTTCTTTTGTTCTCTTTTCCTCTCTCATCTTTTTTTATTGCATGTTTTAACATTTGATTTTTATAAATTTTCAAATATATCTCATTTAAATATTTTTCTTACGTTTATCTAAAATATTATTTTTTCTAATTATCCTGCTAAATTAATTTATTTTTAAATGGGCTTCTATATAAACATCTTTTATTTGTGATTCTCATAAATTTCAATTTTAGTTGCGAAAACATTTCGCACAAGTTTTTTTTGTATGTTTTTTTTTTTTTTTTGTATTGTATTGTCTTGTCTCTAGAGAGTATTTTCAATGCAATATCAAGTTCGTGTGCCTATACTATATTTAAACATTTGAGTATAAGAGAATTACTCTTCAATCTAATGCTATTTTGGTTCTAAATTTGATGTAGGTTGTACTTAATGTCATATGCTATTTTTTTCACATTTAACTGGCTAATGTATAAGCACTATTAAATAAATATGCATTTATGAATGAGTTTTCAATAATTATAATCAATTATAGAAATTTGATGACATGACATGATAAGAATTCAATTCATTACTTATCATAATTTTTTAGTTAACTATTTAATTTATTATAACCAGAGAATCAATATCTTATGATTATAATAATAATGGTACCAAATCTTATCAAGAATAATGCATGCAACTTTTCATTTAATATCCTTGTAACATTGTTACTTTCATATTATATATTATTTCAAAATTAAAAGTTTAATTTACTACTTCAAAGCTTAATAATCATAATAAGAAAAGATACAACATTTAAAATAATATTATACATTGAAGCAAAATAATAACAATAATGAAAATAATATTTTTTTTATTAAATTTTAATACCAAATATAACATTTATATTGATATTTACATATGTGATGGTCTACTACTAATCATTTCAAAATTTTTATTGTAGCAACTATCATTTTTTCCTACCAACAAGAATTATTATTTTAACCGTTTGATTAACTTTTTAATTATTTGATATGCTGGAACATTTTATGTGGCTCATAATAAATTTTTAACGTGGATACTCATTGATCATAATGTTAAAAAAATTAATCAAACGGCTAAAAAATATCCTATAAATAAACCTACTATAGAAGTTCCTTAGTAATTATTTGTTATGATGTATTTTAAATATGAGATGTAATTAGATATTTTATTCTTGATTTAATAAACTGAATTTAATTATTTTATGTCCATGAATTGTTAATTAGTTTGTGAATATTATTAAAAATTCCGCGTTTATTTATGTGACCTTAATTATTGTATATATATTATATACGAGAGGATAATATTTAAGGATAATAATAGAAATAAGTCTATAATGAATTTAATTAAAGTCTCAAAATTTTTAATTAAAACATTACTAGTACATGTCATTCCATTAAGAATGGAACGATGTTATCTACTTCATTAATATGAATGGATATTGAATGAGTGTATTGTATATAATGTGATTATGTTGGACTAGGACAAGATATAATTTGAATTTTATAATAATTTCCATTAAGTATATAAATTTGAATTGAGTTTACCGATAGTCATATATAGAATTATTTTAATTCTAAGTTATTAGCAAAGTCCTATTTATAGAATTGTATCTTTTGACTTACTCGATATGGATTTTGAGTTTACTCAATCATATTCCTTGTATCTTAAAGAGATTAATGGATTATACTGAACTCTAAGATGAATTATTTATGTAATTAGAGAGGTTAACAGATTCTACAAACTCCAATTATGAGTTATTTATGGATGATTGATCTATATGTAATGACTATATCAAATGGACGCTTTAAATTCTTATAAGTAATTATATGTGTATAATTTAAAGAATACAATTCCAAGTTTATAGTAGAGTAACTTTTTTGATAAAAGAGTTTCATTAATTATTAATTTTGGAGCTTAAAATTGTAGGTCTGTGAGTCTCCGCGTCATTATTTTAATAATTGTTAGACAAGATGAATTAACGAGAATTAATATCACTCAATATATTTAATTAATTATGAATTAATTAGAATTTTAAATAATGAGATTATTTAAATAAATAATTTTGAACACAAAATGTGGCGGAACCACATAGCCCGCATGCCCGGTCACTAAGTGTACGTAAGGGGCGTATGGCAAGGAAGGTGTCATTGTGGAAGTCAATTACTTATTCTTTAAGTTATCCAATTACTTATTAGATAAATTATCCAAATTGGATTCAGATAAGTTTAAAGTTTGACTTAAAATGTGTATCCGAATTTGAGTCAAAATGAGATAATAGAATAAAGTTGGATAAAGAATAAAAAGTTGTTCCAAATTTGAATGAGAATTTATCTTGATTTGCATTATATTTTAGAAATATGTTTAGAGTTCTACTAGTACTCTAATTGCATCTATATAAATAGGCGGGATAAGAAAATTGAAGAACACAATTTTTGTCATAATTTTCTAGTGGCCACATTTCTAAGAGATAAAAGGAGAAGAAAAGTTCTTCCATTCTTAGTCCTAAGAAAATTAGTTGAGTGATATTTTCTGTTTTATTTCAGAAAGTGCCCAGACTCTAATCTAGTAGGTCTCAAAGAATAAACGAGAAAAATTTGCAGTTTCTAAGAGATTGTTCTTTTGTATTTTTGAGTTAGAGTGATTTGAGTGATGATTCTGAGTTGAGTTTAAGTTATAACTTGAGTTAAAGTTATAACTTGAGTTTGTGTTTGGATGTGCACATTTGAGTTATGATTTGAATTGAGAATTTTTTTGAGTTTGTGTTTGGGTGCGTCAAAATTTAAATTTATATTTAGATTGTATTTTAATAAAAACTCAATGGTGATGAAAAATTTTAATAGGATATATGGGTATGTTTTTATTCGTCTTTTCGTTGTGGATGCATAGAAAAAAATTAAACTCAATCAGAATTAAAACAAAAAAGTTATGGCATTTTTAAGAATAAAAAAAATATTGTCCATTAACTTGAATTCGAGTTTATGAACTCGAGTTGAAAGGGAAACTTGAACTCGAGTTTAGCCCAAAACTCGAATTCAAATTTGAGTTTAAACTTGAATTCAAACTCAAATTTTACAAAAGAACGTGAATTTGAATAAAGTTTAACTCGAGTTCAAATTTTTTCTGAGTTTCGTTGCAAAAGAATAATCCTTAAAAATCTTAGAGGGAGGATTATTTGATAGTTAAACTTCACGTGATTAGGGGTTGTTCTTTTGCAATGAAACTCAAAAAAAATTTAAACTCGAGTTACAACTTTATTCAAGTTTATGTTATTTTATAAAATTTGAGTTTGAATTCGAGTTTGAACTCGAGTTTGCGGCTAAACTCGAGTTCAAGTTTCTCCTTCAACTTGAGTTCATAAACTCGAACTCAAGTTAATGAACAATATTTTTTCTATTCTTAAAAATGCTATAACTTTTTCATTTTAATTATGACTGAGACGATTTTTTTATGCATTCACAACGAAAAGACGAATAAAATCCTACCTATATACCCTACTAAAATTTTTCATCACCATCGAGTTTTTATTAAAATACTATATAAATACAAATTTAAGTTTTGACTCATCTAAACACAAACTCAAATAGATTCTCAATTTAAATCATAACTCAAATGTGCACATCCAAACACAAACTCATGTTACAACTTCAACTCAAATTATAACTCAAACTCAACTCAAGATCATAACTCAAATCATCTTAACTCAAAAATACAAAAGAACGAAAGTTATTGACTTAATCACTTCCCAAGTAAAATAAATAATTAGATTATTTATTCTGATCGTATAAATTAATATCTATATAATATGCTAAAAGTTTTCAAAATTTTTTTTTGTTATATATGATTCATATTAATTCTCTTTTACATTATTTTATCAAAAATCGTTTTAAAAACCAACATTACTTATTTATTATTATTATTTATTTTGATGGTGATGCACTTATATATTTATTAAGTAATAATCTATTTACCTTAACAAAAGTAATAATCTATTAATATTTATTTAAGCAAAAAAAAAAGTAAATAATCTATCTATCAATAAATGCGAGGTGCGTAGCTTAGCAAGTAAAACATATTTGGTTAGGCGCACGTTATGAGAGGAACTCGACTGGATTCATTGTCGTATACTGCCTTAACGTGCGCAGGCAGATCTTACTTCCACGTAAGCACAAGAAAACAGAACACCAAAAGGCCAAAAAAAAAAAAAAAAAGAGATATTATTTTTATTTTTATTTTTTCCACTTTCCCTTTATTTGGGTTTGGATTTTATTGTGTTCGAAACCATAACCGTCTCAAACTCGCAACATTATTCTTGTAAATATATATATATATATATTATATAAAAACCCAGATTGTGTTTTGTGCTTTTTGTACGTCTATTTTCTGTGTCGTTGTATTTCAATCAGAAAAAGAGGAGAAAAAAAAAACCCACATTCTGATATTTCTGATCCGATCCTCTTATTTATTGCGTTTTTATTTCCATTCGCAATTAATGGTTTCTGGGTTTTGAATTGACTTACAATAAGAAATCATTGGGAAAAAGAAAACCTCACTTTCTCATCCTCTTATTTGTTGTTTTTTTCTTTCCTTTTTTCATTTCATTCATAATTATTGGTTCCTGGGTTTTGAATTTTCTCACTTTCTTTCTTTATCATACACCTAATTTTCTCCAACACCGGCACAGAGAATTCTCGTGATCCATTCGTTTTTTTTTATAAAAATAAAAACGAACTTATTTAATCCTCATTCTCCAATACCTCTGTTTGTTTCTCGGGAAAATAAATGTGAGAAATCGTTGGGCTACGCTAAGGTTTCCCAAAGGTACGTGAATCTGGAATCAAATTTTTTGTTGTTGTTGTTATTTTGTGTGTATTTGAAGCTGCAAGTACATGATTTTTTTTCCTTTTTGTGTTTGTTCTATTTGTAGTTGCTTTGAAATTATGAAATTATCGTTTCTTTCCTTTTTTTTTTTTTTTGCTTAATGCGTATTAAATTTATTTGTTGAAATTATCATGGGCTTGTCTAAAACAGTTTAAAATTTGTTTTTGTGTAGGTACTTTATGACATTATTTAGTGAACTTAGTTCGATTGTGATTAGGAATTGGAGATATATTTGGTATTAAGGAACAATATTCGAGTATTATTTTAGTCATAAGATTGAGTGAAAAGAGACCCCAAAAAGAAAAAAAAAATGCCAAGAAGTAGAAACGAGAAGGATGAAATTGAGAAGTACATGGGTTTGAGTAAGCTAGCTCAGGTTCTCTCCTTTTTGGTTGTTTTCGTGGCGGGTGTGGTTTTAGGATTGGTTATGAGCTCGCATATCAATCAGCATTTTGTTTCGAAAACTGAGGTTTATTCCTTCATCAATCACTTTTCGACTGATGGGCCGGGTGTGAAGGATGAGAACTGTACCATTGTGAGGGATTGTGGCAAGGCTGAGGATTGTTTGAGCATGAACGCGCTTCTCAGGCCGAAGAACTTGACACATCGATTGTCGGACAACGAGCTCTTTTGGAGAGCTTCAATGGTGCCACAGAAGGAAGAGTATCCCTATAAGAGAGTGCCTAAAGTGGCATTCATGTTTTTGACAAGGGGGGCATTGCCATTGCTCCCGTTATGGGAGAGGCTTTTTCGGGGACATGAGAAGCTTTTCTCCATTTATGTCCATGCTCTTCCTGGTTATAAGCTCAACGTATCGACTACGTCCCCCTTTCACAGACGGGAAATCCCAAGTCAGGTATGAGCACTTATTGAATGCTTTTGTTGTTGTTTACTAGTTTATGCTGTTATTATTTTTGTTTCTTATGTTAAATGACACGAGAAGGTGCCGATCGATTGGTATTGTTTTGTTGAAAATTTGAGAGTAAATGTTCAAAAGTGACCTTCATGTGCTATTTTAGTCTTTAGTAATAATCATAAGGAGGCATGAAGGATTTCTTTGGAAAAATAAAGGGTCTTCTTTGTTGAACTATGTAGAGTATCTCTCCTCTTGAGTTTGTCTTGGACAACTGCTTAAATACCCGAAAATCCTCCTCCTGAAAATCATAGCTTTGTTAGTGCTATTCTGGTCTAGATAATTTGTTTGCCACGAAACAGAAAATTATTCACTGCATCAAAGAAGATGTGCTATTTTTTATGGGCCGCATCCTTGATTGTGAACAACTCGGTAGCATTTTCCTGATTAATGACATGTTACTAGTTTTTCTAGCTTTCTTGAGGACTCCTTGTCCCTTCTTACTTCTTGGTAGGATCGACTGCTTTTTTTATTTTTAAATAATGAACTTCAACAGATAGAGCTAGAGAGGCTTTCCTTTTTCTTTGATTATATTGAATTAGAAATATGTTTTGGGGTTTTTCTTGTATAGGTTTGGCAGTTTTAGATGCTTTCTTTTTGTTTTATTTTTCTGTTAATACTCTATTCTTTTAAATTGCTAGGATTTTTTTGTTTTTTTTTGTTTAAAGGTGTCTCTTATTGTTATTTGTTTGTAATGCTGTTAGACCATGTTAAAACTGGCTGGCTTTTCCAATTTTTGAATAAATAATGTGTTCATATATAAATTGTTTCTGTTCTTATTCTCTGCAGCATGTTTCATGGGGTACAGTAACACTTGCTGATGCAGAGAGGCGTCTACTAGCCAATGCGTTGCTCGATTTCTCAAACGAGCGGTTTGTCCTTCTTTCTGAAAGCTGCATCCCAGTCTACAACTTCTCGACCATATACAACTATCTCATTGGTTCTACCCAAAGCTTTGTTCAGGCATACGATGAACCTACCCGTTATGGGCGTGGCCGTTACAGCCGCAGGATGCTTCCTGATATCAAGCTCTATCAATGGCGAAAAGGGTCTCAATGGTTTGAACTTAACCGCGCTCTAGCTGTGTATATTGTCTCAGATACAAAGTACTATACCCTTTTCAAGAAATATTGTTTGCCTGCTTGCTATCCAGATGAGCATTACTTACCAACTTACATTAACATGTTTCACGGTCCGCTAAATTCAAATCGGACCGTGACTTGGGTTAACTGGTCGATCGGAGGGCCTCACCCTGTGACCTATGGAGAAGCTAACGTTACAGTAGATTTTATACAGGCAATAAGAAATAATGGAACCCCTTGTCAGTACAATACGCAGACGACATCCATTTGTTACCTGTTTGCTCGGAAATTCGCTCCAAGTGCCCTGGAGCCTTTGCTCAACCTCTCCTCATCAGTGATGAAATTTTGAGAATTTTGGTTCCTCAGTGATGAGTTACTTCTGGTTTTTTCTTAACCCTCAAATTCCTAGATTTTGATAGGGGTTTATTATATAGTTTTTAATCATCTAATTATTTCTTTTTCCTAGTTCAAAATGTACAGCTTTTAGTTGTTATCTTTTCTCTTTGGAGAATTTTCTGTGTCGATCTCTGAAGAGATGATAACAAGTTATTCTTTACCTAGAATTTGAGAGGAGAAATTGACAAGTCCTTCAAAGGAGGACGGCTTTTTACATTTCAAGTTAATGATATATTGCAAAATGTTTTGGGTTTGATTTAGCAAGAAATACGTTTATACCATTTTGAGATTTCATGTTTGAGCATATTCTTTAGCAAAACGAGTCTCTTCTATATTTTTTTTTTTGTCATTTTCCAGTCCATTCAATCATATCATCACTTAAAAAGGAATTCTACCCGTTCACTTCGCTGATTCGAGTTTGTAATTCGAGTTGAGATGTGATTTTATGTAAGAATTTTATACTGTAGCAAAAAATTTAGATGTGACTGTTTCTGAGAACTTTTTATTGTAATAAAATTCAAATTCTAAATTCGAATCGGTAAAGTGAACGGGAACCTCTTTTGTCAGTTAATAGGTATTAATATTGCGCCACTTTTACCACCAAAGAATTTTATTAAAAGTGCATCTTGATCTCACCGCATAAATAAGGATTTCATTAGGCTCAAGGAAAGAATTTTACTGCGTAAATTAGGCTGTGTACCACTTTTTAAAGTCTAATTAGTTGAAACAGGTGCTCCGCGCATGTATTTAATATATATATATATATATATTATATACGAAGATCTAAATTTTTTTAAAAAACGTATAGTTTACTCCTTTTTTTAGTGGACAAAAAGTATCTAAAAATAAATACAATTAGTGGTAGAAAGAAATCTAAGCGTTAAGAGCAAGTAAGAATAAATCTTGTAATGTTAAAAAAATATATATATTTATTTAATCGTCTGGAAAAAGAAATAAGACACGATTAAGATTAAAAGATCAGAAAGTTATTCAAGATATCAAGCTGAATCTAAAAAATTGAAAATTTTAAATAAAAGAACAGAAAACATAAATCATAATCATCAATATAAAAAAGAGTAAGAAAAATTGACTTATCCGAGTGAAGAAAGAAACTCCAATCAGTGTAGTAATGAGGCTGACAAAATCACAGAGGGATTGGAATGATATATTCTACCGAGGTGATTATTATTTAGGACCGTTTACTCCGTAAATTTGAGTTTTTAATTTGAGTTGAGATGTGACATTTTATAAGAGTTTTTTTACTGTAGCAGAAAAAATTAAATGTGATATTTTCTGAGAACTTTTTATTGTAGAAACCTAAAACTGAAAACTCAAATCAATAAAATGAATGAGGCCCTAACCGATAAAGAAACATACAAAATGAAAAACTAATGGCTTGTTCTTAGATCAAAACTAAAAAAAAAAATTTGAATTTAAATTACAATTTTATTTAAGTTTACGTTTTTTTATAAAATTTGAGTTTGAACTTGAGTTTAAACTCGAGTTTTAACTTAAATTTGAGGTTAAAATATGAGTTTAAGGAGTTATTCTTTTGCAACGAAACTTAAAAAAAGTTTGAACTCGAGTTACAACTTTATTTAAATTCATGTTTTTTTTTATAAAATTTGAATTTGAACTCGAGTTTGAGGCTAAACTCGTGTTCAAGTTTTCCCTTCAACTCAAACTCAAATTAATGAACAATATTTTTTTTATTCTTAAAAATGTCATAACTTTTTCGTTTTAATTCTGATTGAGATGATTTTTTTTATGCATTCAGAACGAAAAAATGAATAAAATTCTACCCATATACCCTATTAAAATTTTTCATAACTATTGAGTTTTTATTAAAATACTATCTAAATACAAATTTAAGTTTTGACACACCTAAACACAAACTCAAAAAGATTCTCAATTCAAATCATAACTCAAATGTGCACATCCAAACACAAACTCAAGTTACAACTTCAACTCAAGTTATAACTCAAACTCAACTCAAAATCATCACTCAAATCACCCTAACTCAAAAATGCAAAAGAACAACCCTAGTCTTTTCTCCTTCAACTCAAGTTAATGAACAATATTTATTCTATTATTAAAAACACCATAATTTTTTCGTTTTAATTCTGATTGAAATGATTTTCTTTTCTATGCGTTCATAACGAAAAGACGAATAAAACTTAATCCATATACCCTACTAAAATTTTCCATCACTATTGAGTTTTTATTAAAATACTATATAAATACAAATTCAAGTTTTAACCCACTCAAACACAAATTCAAATAGATTCGCAATTCAAACAATAACTCAAATGTGCACATCCAAACACAAACTCAAGTTACAACTTTAACTCAAGTTATAACTCAAATTCAACTCAACCATAACTCAAAAATACAACCGAACAAGCTCTACGAAAATTAATATCCAACTAATATCTATATATATATATATATATCTAGGTCCTGTTCACTTCGTTGATTCGAGTTTAGATTTTGAGTTGAGATGTAACTTTATGTGAGAGCTTTTTACTGTAGTAAAAAAGTTATATGTGATTGTTTGTGAGAACTTTTTACTGTAAAAAAACTCGAATTCTAAACTCGAATCAGTGAAGTGAACGGAGCCCTATATTTTGAGATGTACATCTCTTAACAAGTCCACTCCTTTTAACGTTCATGGAAAAGTAAAAATTATATTGATATAAAGAATTATCCGTTCTTTTCGCTAATTCGAGTTTTACTACAGTAAAAAGTTCTCAGAAACAGTCACATTTAACTTTTTTACTACAGTAAAAAGCTCTCACACAACATTACATCTCAACTCGAATTAGCGAACCGAACGGGCACGTAGAAACATTAAATAAAGAAACATTATTAAATGATATAAGACAACTGGTTTCTTCTGTAGGAGTATACATTATTAAGGGCTTGTTTTGTTATCCATAAATTTTGTGGGAGAAGAAAATACGTAATATAGATAGAGGGGATGAGAGGTATAAATAGACTTGGTTGTACAGAGATAGCAACTATAAAAGTTTTGAAACTCAATACAGATGTGTATCTTAATTAGAGACGGTCTTACATTTTTTTTTATCTATATATACATTTTTTTATCTATATATATATATTTTTAAGTTTAGTTTAGTAAAAAAAAATGTTTTAAGTAGATCAAATGTTAAAAGAAAAAATTAGTGGGGCAAATAAGATCAAATTTTGTAGGATTAATTATAAAATCTCCTCTTGAACTATACCCTTGTAACACTTTGCCCTCTAATATTTGAAACGTAATATCCGTTTCTCTTGAACAATGAAATATTAACGAAAAAAACCCATCCGTTAAGCTTTTAAATGGAAATTAACATTTAATTTATTATTTTTAAGATATTTTAGTAGCTCTATGATTTAAAATTTTGTTTGAATTTAAAACTAATTTAAATTTAAACTTTTAATTATGATATATTCATTATTAATTGAATAAGTTAAAAATTTTATGAATCTTTTTTTTTAGAATAAAAAATTTATGAACTTTTTTTTTTATAATTTTAAATTAGTTTGAATTCAAATTAAATTTTAAACCATAAAATTACCAAAATACTCTTAAAATAGTAAATTAAATGTCCACTTAAAAGCCTAATGGAGGGATTTTTTTTATTAACATTTCATTATTAAGAGATAATAGATATTACGTTTTTAAAATTAAAGGGCAAAGTGTTATAAGAGATATAATTTAGAGATAATTTTTGTAATTAATCCAATTTTATATGTAAATTAAGCTCAAGATGACATTCCTCTTCTTTCTCATGTTCCTCACCGTAGAGTTAACCAGTCAAACGCCAAAAAGGAAAGTAAAAGGAAATACTTTAAGAGAGTTTCTCTGATAGTCCATGTACAAATAAAATTACTGGTGTTTTTTACTTTTTAGTCGTGAAATTCAAAATTTGTTTACCCTACATATTTTTTCAATCTAATGTGATGTTAACCAGATTCAACAGTTAAAAATTGAGACTATAGAGAAACTCCTAGTTCAAAAATGATCCTCAATTTTTTCGAATAATGTTCTTGTTATATTGTCCTAATTATCTTCAATTCTTCACCCACTTAATCCAAGTATATTTTTCATTTCAAAAAAAAAAAAAAAACAAACAAACAAAAACCCAAGTATATTTTCATTCAACACCCAATAAAAGGTCGCAGTCCTACATTCAGCCTACTTAGGTAAGGAAATCAAAAGATTCCTTTTTTGACATTATCCTCAGAACGCTGATAGGAACAATATAAAATACAAATTCCTGAAACTGTAAAAAATGTTTCCACAGCAGAAACTCGGCATTATCATGCTAATATTTATTCAGAGTTTTTTCTGTGGAAATTAACGTTAAGAGATTATTATCAGCATCACATTCAGAAGATAGTCATCTATTCGATAGGGGGAAATGCAAAACTGTAGTAAATTTAAAATTATTATTCATCAAAGCGTCTCTGTCAAATATCCAGAGCGCAAAACTACAACAATAATTAACCGCTCGTTTGTGTATATGTATAACGTATGAAGGAGAATCAGTAGTTACTTGGAGAGAATTAAAACTCTCAAGCATACCTTCATACACCATATCAAAGTCTACCTCATTCTTATACTCGACTGAAATTACAGCATATGCTTCCGACGTGAGGATACGCTTGGCAGATAACAATAAAGTAGGAATGTTCGGGACCGGAATAAAATCGTGAAAGAAATGCGAACTCCATGAATTTCGAGTAAAGAATCAAGCAGTTGCTACCTGTTCTGCTACTTGGGGCTGCTGGGATTCAGATTGCACCTGTTCCTGCTTAGACATTTGATGGGAGTCCGATCGCGAGGGATATGGTCCTGGTTGTGAAGGTCCTGATTGGCGGTGTGGTGCTCCCATTTCCCATCCAGCTTTTTCAGGGGGTTGTGACATTGGATTATATGACTCTGCCACTTGTGGGTGTCCGGTATGATGCTGAAATCCTGGCATTCGATGGTTTCCTGATGGATAATGCTGGGGTCCTCCCATTGGTGGAGATACTGAAGAAGAGTGTTGGGTTGCATACACATGTTGGGGTTGCGAAGGAGGGTGGTGAGTTCCAGGCATTTGAGAAGATTGTGACTGTCCGTAATATGGTCCTGCCATTTCAGGAGATTGTGACTGTTGGTAATATGGTCCTGCCATTTGAGATTGTGACTGCTGGTAATGTGGTCTCGCCATTTGAGGAGGTTGTGACTGTTGGTAATATGGTCTTGCCATTTGTGGAGATTGTGACTGTTGATAATATGGTGTTGCCATTTGAGGAGGCTCTGATGGAGGGTGCTGGGATCCTACCGTTTGAGATGATCCCGAATACGTGTTCACAGGGGCTGCCATTTGAGGGGGACCTTGGTAAGGTCCAGTCATCTGAGGAGACGCCGATGGTGACTGATGAAATCCAGTCCTTTGCGGGGATCCAAATGAAGGATTTGACCATGAAGACATTTGACCAGGTCCTGATGGTGCATGTGATGGTCCCGCCATTTGAGCTCTCCCTAATGGCTGTTGTCCTGGTCGTTCTGTACGAGAGGGCGGGGTGTGTCCCCATCGATCCATGCTCAACACTCTCTCAATCTCTTGTCCCCGCCCAACTTTTGCAAAAGCCTCATTTACAAACTGCTGCAGCGTAGGAGTAACACCAATTCCATACCTCATCACCTCTTCTACTAAATCCAGGCTCACATCAAATGCTCCTTCATTGCAAAGCCCCTTGATCACAACCTCATAGCAACTGACATCGGGTTTAGGATCTTTTTCCCCCATTTTCTTCAAAATCTGCGCACAGTCCACTGCTTTACCATTCTTAATCAATTCATCAAACACCCTATTACCAAAACTAGCAACAACCCTCAAACCAGCCTCCACCATTCTGTTGAACATCTGCAGAGCATTATCTATCTGCTCTTCCTTCAAATATGCTTCAATAAGAGTCCTGTAAGTAGGGACATCCGGGGACAACGACTTGGAGCACAATTCGGCAAACATTGACTCGGCCTCCGACAACATCCGATTTTCACAATATCTGGTAATGATATTATTATAGCCAGCAACATCCATAGCAAAAGGTTTCGAATTTACCTTCGTTCCCACCTTCCTAAAGGTCACAATTGCATCCTCGATCCTCTCAAGCTTGAAACACTCATTAACCATTATGCTAAAACTTTCTGAATTGACAGCCTGAAAATTTGGAGGGGTATGATTATCCAGCATCTGATCAAACAACGCCCAAGCCTCAGTCTTCTTTCCATGCTTAAGCAAAACCTCCAATAGAACATTACAAGTAGCTGGTATCATCTTGAACTGCCTATCAAGCAACGACTTGTACGATTCCATCGCCTCCTTCTCCATCCCTCTGTTGAAAAACCAATCCATGAACGTGGCACTCACAACCCCATCATACACAAGACACCTTTCCTTAAGCTCGCCAAAAAGCTCATTAGCTCTCTCCAAATTGCCCAAGCTCAAAAACCCGGAAATTAAATTGTTGTAAACCAAGGAATCTGCACCATGCCCTTTGTTCAACATCTCCCTCAACAAATCAACAGCCTCCCCAATCCTCCCAGCATCAATCAACCCTTTGGTCAAGTGCCGGTACGTGACCGGTGATGGACTAAAAGGCGCATTAGCCATAATATGTCTAAAAACATCCAGACCAACATCAACTCTCCCCTCATCACAATGCGCATTAATCAAGTTATTGTAAGAGACAATGTTGGGAACAATGTTGGACTGCTGGAAGAAAAACTGGAAAAGCGCAATAGCGTCATTGTACCTGTTTAGTTGTGGAGCAAGAAATTTTTGTCACATGGCGTGAGTTAGACTAAAATCATAACCCCTAATACATTTTTTAACTTACTTTTTATATCTATTTATCACTTTTTTCTTTTGGTTCTTTTTGAATCCTCTTTTATTTTTTTACTGAATGAACTAAACCTACAATTGAGTTTAATTCTGTTTTTAAGCTTCAAGTAAAAAAATTTATGAACTTTCGGTTTATTTGGGTTTCTAAATTAAAAAATGAAGTGTAGTTAAAAGGAAAAACTAGGAGCATGAATGAAAAAATCTTTTCTTTATCTAAATCATGTAGAGTCTACAAATTAAAAAAAAAAGAAAAAGGAAAAACTTGTAGGAGGAATAAGGAGAAAAGGTAAATGCAGAGTAGAGTAGAATTGCATAAATATGCTATCCTCACCCTTTTTGGTGCCAAATATAGCATTACTATTGACATTTTACCTTGGAAATGTTCTAAAGCAAAAACTAGGAGCAAAAATGAAAACTCTTATATAAAATAAAAAAATAGGAACAATTGGGAGAGAAATGTTGAATGAAGAGTAGAGTAGAATAGCATATCAAAGTATGTTATTTTTCACCATTTTGATGCCAAATATAGCAAATTTACAATGAAATTTACACACACACGGACATGTATATATGCAAATTTACAACTTTTTTTTTTTAAATAGGAATAAATATGATAAGGAGAAATGGTGAATGCAGAGTTGAGTTAGAGTGAAAAGTGAACCTCTTGGCGCGGTACATGGCAGCGATGATGGCGTTGCAGGTGAAGACGGTGGGACGGGTGTTGGAGAAGACGGAGTGGCGGGCGACGGAGGAGGCGGCGTCGAGATCGCCGGCACGGATGAGGGACTGGACGCGGTTGTGGAGGTTAAGTCTGGGGCCCACTAGGGCGGAGGTGGAGTCGGGGAGGCGCGGCGCGTTAGGGTCACGCGGTGGAGGGTGGAAGTGGGGGTCGCGGCGGAGGGCCTGGAGAGGGGGCTCGATGCGGAGGCGGCGCTTGCGGCGGCGGCGCTCGGCTGCTGCTTCTTCGGCGGAGGAGAAGGCGAAGGATCGCCGGAAAGTGAGGTCTGGGATGGTGGTGGTGGTGTTGGTGATATGGAGGAGGGATGTGGTTGTGAGGGTTTGGGGAGTGGTGGAGGGGCGGCGGAGAGAGCGGAGGAGGAGGCGATATACGGACATGGCTGGGGTTTGTGGGAGGAGAGAGAAACCCTAGGGGAGAGAGAGAGGTACTGTATCAGAGAGAAATGCTTAAACCCTACAATGGGAAAATGAGGACGAAAGTCAGAAAATAAGCAAGAGTGAGGGACTTTCTACCAAACAAAAATAGGGGTGTTATTTATATTTTGTACCCCGTATTTTAGGTTTATTTAAACAGTTAACTTTTAGTTTTTAATTGCTACAAATCTCTACCATTGTCATCATATTACAATTAATTAATAGTTAATAAATATATACCTTTCCTCAATTAGCTCAATTTAAAATGACTAAATTAACCTTAACAGTAGTGACTCTTAAAGTTCGTTTGGCAAAATGGTTCAAGTGGTTTGAATAAAAAAAGTTCAAATGAATCAACATTTGGTAAATAATTCATAATTTAAACTCCCTTATTTTCATCAAAACGTTTTGAACCAAAAGTTTAAACTCATTTTAAACTACAAATGTTCAAATCACCACCTTTTGAACTTTTTTACCAAACGGGTTCAAATCACCACTTTTTAAACTTTTTTACAAAACGGGTCTTGAGTTTTTTGTTATTGTAAATATATACCATCATATCACTCATACTAGGATTAATTTGATAATTTTAAAGGTAAAAATTAAGTGTTGATGGTGAAAAGGTTGCTTATTAAATATAATTTGATTGTATACATTTGCATTAATTTAAAATGTGCATTTACTAAACCATAATATAATGTAATGAAAAAGGTAATGAGATTTGAAAGGAAATTAAAAAATAAGATTAAGGATCTTTTATTCATTTTAAATGTTTATGTAATGCTCTCAAGAATTAAATAGGTTTAATTATACTAATTATGATTTATTAGTGTGTCTAATTTGATTTTCTTAATTGATTAAGAAATTTTAAGTTACTTTTAGTATTCACAATTCCACCCCGGAAGTGTGTAGAATACATACTTCCATCATTTCCTTTTATTTACCATTCAGTATTACTTTTTCCTTTATTTTCTTTTCCTTTACTTTTCTTTTTCTTATTTTCCCTCTCACTCTCGCGTTCTCTCACTCTCTCCTTCTCCCAGTCTCTCAATCTCTCTCTCTCGTGCATCTCTCTCCCACCCACTCTCACGTCTCTCTCTCTTTCTCAGAGCTCTCTCTCGTTCTCACTTTCTCTCTCTCCCTCGTTCAAAGCTTCTCTCTCTCTCTAAGCGGATTTTGAACCGGATTCGAACAAAAAATGATGCTTCTCAAGAAGTTTCAACATAAAAGCCTAGATCAAGGTAAAACCCTTTGAAACTCTCTTTAAATTTCAGATCTAGCCTTGTGGAACTCATTTTTAGTCGAGTTTGGTGATTTTTGATTTAGATTCACTTTTGAATGAGTTTTGATGAAACCTTAATGAAATTTAGGGGTTTTTGATTCTTTGAACCCCATTTGTTGATTGGAACTTGGTTTTGTTAATTTCTTTTGAGATATGTTGAATCGGACCCAAAATTTACAGGATTTGGCTTTGTTCTTCACAAATTGGCCATTTTTGGCCCTGACATTTGTCCCTACCGGTCGACCGGTCACCACTCCACTGGCTGATCGGTGGAGTTGCACTTTTCTATCATCGGTTAACCGGTGCATACTGAGTCCGACCCTAAACAGTTCAAAAACTCTGTTTTGACCCTGAAACTCAATGTAGAACCAATCTAACTTCATTTGGGAACTTAAGTGAGTGGATTAGCCACATTAATCCTTGTTTCCATTCCATTTCTCTTAATTGAATTCCAATTCTCAAAGAATCATGATTTGAATTAAGAATTGTTTATGAACTTTGATTTTGAGTTAAGGCACGATACAATTGAATATAATTAAACTTGGTTGTCTAGAGGGAAGGATTAAACTCTAAATTGTTGGTTTTGATGACGAAGCTAGTGACACGATTGGACTTGGAGCTTCGAAGACAAGCGGAACTAGGGCTATGTGAAGTTAGCCACAGGTTTGAGATCCGAGAGGTATGATATTCTTTTCATATCCTTGTTAGCATGTTTTAAAGTATTTTGGCTATGTAAATATTTTTAAAAGATAATACAGGTTTGATAAAGAAAATTGTTTAAAGACAATAGATTGATTATTACTATTGACCTCATAATGAACTGGTTTCAAATTTTAATGAACATTTTCTTAAGATGAGATATCTTGCGAACTAGTAAGCCCGCTGGTAGCCTAGACAGGATATGGAGATCGTATCCTTGGGGACAGAACCCGCAACTTGGACGAGCCACTATGGTGGTGATAAGACCTTGCTTTTGGTCATAAGTAATTTATCAATAAATTACTTGCTGGTTACCTGTAAACTGAAACTTAAGTTTATTTACCTTTCAGAAAAAAGTTGTTTGGTTCTGATTGATTTCTTTCAGACCTAATTATTTCATTTTATTTATTTACTTATTTATTCAGTTCTTTAAAATTTTATCCTATTGGGCCTTTCGCTCATTTTTTCTATGTTTCAAAATGTATTTAACCCCACCCAGGCGACACTAGAAGTAGCGCAGAATAGGTGAGGAACTCGGTTCTAGAAGAAAGGAAGCAGTGAAGTATTTTCCTTCATTATCAGATTTATTCAAGGCATGTATTAACTATGGATTGTAAACCTAAAACATAACTCGACTGTGGTTGATGTTAGTTATTTACTTTTCTGTACTTATTTATGTATGCACAAGTGTAAACCCTGTAGATGCCGGAGGCTGACTTTTGATGTTGATCTTAATAGTAACTGTTTTTTGTAAAGTCCGCCTCACTTTTTCTTAAAAACTTAATTTCTTTAAAATAGTGGGGTTTATTTAGAAATACCTGAATATTTCAGATTTGAAATCAAATTTTGAACTGTTAATCGTTTAATCACTTTCTTAATCAGGTTTAATTTCTAAACAAGCCTCCACGTCACTAACCCCTGTTTGGGGGCGTGACAGTTTACTTAATTATTAGATGATGTAATGGGAAACAACATTATTCCCTTTCTTATGTTTATTAAAATTAGGAATAACAATATTATGATGTAATCACTAAAATATTCTTTTACACAATTAAATAATCATTGACTATATAGTAATTTATTGAGTATAGATAAGTAAATTTAACATTTATTCTCTTGTATAGGGAATCAATACTAAATAAAGTGCAAAGATTGACATTTTATATCTTATTTTATATATTGTGTGGAGCCCACTAAATTTCTATTACTAATAAATAAACACATTATTAAAAAGAAAAATTAATCACTTACTTTTTCTTTCCTTTTAATGTAAGAGTAAACTTAAAACATTAGATATAAAAAGATAAATAACACAGTAAAAAAATAATAAATAAGCAATTCTACTTTCTGGAAAGTGGTTTCAAGCATAGCAGTAGTACTTGAATCTACTATAAAATGTAGAAAAAATTACAGAATTTATTTTTAAAAGTGCATGAATCTAGACTTGTATCTCTTATTCTTGATAAATATCATTTTGTTAGTGTAATTATTTGACTAAAAAGGTTATGAATCAAGAATAAAGGGTAAAAATCCTGATTCATTCACTTTTAAAAAGTATTTGTTAAGATTACCCTAAAATGTAACATCCTCACAGCTTATTTTAAAAAAAAAAAATTTTGAGGGGTCTATGCATGTAGTTTTATGTTTTTCTCAAAATTAAATCCAACCTAAACTAAATTTATTTTAAACTCTGACCTTTAAAATGTCTCAATTATATATTCATAGTTTTCCATAAAAAAATGTCTCAATTATATTGGTGTAATAAATGATCCGTTTGAAAGGTGTACTCAAACCATAATTTTTTATGCTAACGTTTGAAATTTAAATTTTTTGTGAAAAAAACATGGTAGCAGACTCAATTTTTTGAGTTTGAGTATATTAAGCAAACTAACCCTTAATCTTTACAATTAAAAATATGACATAAATACATATAAAAAAAATATGATAGAAAATAGCACGAGTTATGCGCGATCAGTAGTATCCCAGCTTGGGTCCAATGACCTGAATGGGAATTTCAGGTTGAGCCGGCCAATCCTAAAAAAAAAGGGTCGGCCCAGCCCATTAAACCCGGCCCAAACTTACAGCTTTAATCGGTAGTTTAATTTTGATTATATCAAATCATTATTTAACCAGCTAATTCCCTGAAAACGATTAAAATATTAATTCTACCGTCACTTAAATAGGAATGGCACGTGGGCAGCGTGTAAGGGCGAAGCCAGCAGGTTCCATTAATTTTTTAAAAAATCTGTTTTCCCTCTACGTTTTTTTTTTAATTTCTCAATGGATGGGCCCGTTTAGTTCGTTGATTCGAGTTTTTAATTTGAGTTGAAATGCAACGTTATGTAAGAGCTTTTTACTGTAATAAAAAAGTTAGATGTGACTGTTTCTGAGAGCTTTTTACTGTAGCAAAACTCGAATCGGCGAAATGAACGAGACCTATGTTTCAAAATTTCTCATTTTCACTAGCGGCACAAGATCTATTTCAAAAGACTAATTTCATCACACTAAAATAGATTGAAATTAGTTTAAGGACTAAAATACAGAAACTGTACAATCTTTTCAAAGGAATGAACACCCCATCCATAATGTAAGCTTATTTTGTTTTAATTTACAAAAGAATGGAATGCATGATACATTCACAAAAGGAAAGCTCAACTGCTGTTCTTGCCTGATGTACAACTAACCGCAATTTCGGCGTTCTTTAAAATACAAATGGTTCAGTCATTCTTTGTCGAAAAGTTTCTTTCTTGTCAACTTTGAAGTATTTGTCACAGCTGTTTGAGGCTCCTTACCGGAAACTGTGTGTGTGTAAAAACCTGTGCAGAATTCTGTGGTTTCTTATGCACCACGATAACTCAACTTTGAAGTATTTGTCACAGCTGTTTGAGACTCCTTACCGGAAACTGTGTATGTGTAAAAAACCTGTACAGAATTCTGTGGTTTCTTATGCACCGCGATAACTATAAACCTTGTGTTGTTTGCCAATGGTCGGCCTCTATACAAATAAAATTATCGACTACTTTGGTTTGCTGGCAACCGAAATGGATCGACCCAACATCTATCCTCTGTCACCGCATTCGCCCACCTTTCTTTGAAGATCTTCATTTCGATCGAAGATTGCAGCCTGACCTGCAAGACCAAAGGAGGAAATAACACAAGTGATTACACATGATCAGAAAACAAGCATCTGAGAGCACAAAGTTTTAAGAGAGATAATAACAAAAATCTCCTCTATGTTTTATCGAAATGTTGCATTCACCCTATATTTCCAAGAACGTTGCACTTATCCCCTACGTTTTACGAGTCATGCTAAAACTATTCCCTACGTCTTACAATAGCGTAAAAACCTCCCCCAGAAAATATGTTCGGTTTTCAACACGGTTTGTAAAATGTAGGTGCAGCATTCCTAAACACGTAGGGTGGAACGCAACATTTTGATAAAATGTATCAGAGGTTTTGTTACCATCCCTTTACAACATCTAAAGTCACTATGGAACTGCATAAGGCAAAGCATTGATATATTGAACATTTACCTTAGCTCTATTATCAACGTTTTGGGAGCCAGATTCAGCCTGCAATTTCAAAGAAACTGAACTCGTCACGCTTTAGCAAAAGGAGGAAAAATTTGCTAATAAGTTAGAGCATTTAACGTAGATTACTCAGATCAATATATGGTAGGAGATGTGAGATACAAGTACAATATGTTGTTCGACATATTTGAGTAATTCTACAGGAGAATAAGAGGACAAGTTGGTAAAGAATTTTGGGTGATGCTTGCCTTAATATTGCTGGATACACCGAGTGTGGGGAGAGCCATATGCACTACATATTCTGCATCAACCACGCCAACTTTTTTAACTCGATCACCCTGAATAGAAGAAGTCTCAACACGGTTAAGAATGACTAACCAAGTCCGAAAAGGAAGCCAATAGAACAAGAGAGAAAAAGTTACTTGTGAACAATAACCGAGTTGAATGTCGAGGCCCCATGCATGGATCAAGTCATTCTGCAAAGGGTAACAAACAATTAAGAGAATAATCACCACAGATAGACAAAAAGCACTGTTGATAGTGTCCAATTTAGAGTTGATGCAATTGGAATACTTCCACAATACCATGTTGAGTATCTCAACATAACATAATCAAGAGTGCATCACAAAAGCTTCCCTTATTTTTTAATCTTAGTAGATCCACCATTCCGTATCATATTATGACACAATCATCGGGTTTTGATTTGAAAAAGCTTCCCTTATATTTTAATCTTAGTAGACCCACCATTCTGTATCATATTACGACACAATCATCGGTTTCGATTTGAAATTCCGCAATCAAATGTAATTATTACGGCCAAAGGGTAGAAATTTACAAAATAACAATGATCCTATTATACCATTGAGTTTCATAGAGATTTCTTACCTGGATCATATGCCATACACACTGCCAAGCGGCTCGAGAGAACACGGGAGCCATCATTTCCACCCAACTGCCAACAAGTACAAATGATCAAAATAACAAACTAATATATTTCAACATAGAAACTACGGAATGACTGATCATTTACCCCACGCACGGAGGTGACGAGCTCTGGTCATCGCACCTTCCACTGCCTTTGAATTTATAATACCTTCTGTTACAGGAAAGTGTGCAAAATGGATCAAACTCAATTGTAATATATAATATAACATCATATCCAAACAATACACCATGTGCTCGAAGGACGAGAAATCAAACATAATGTTCAAGAAGACTATACAGTACAACTGCCAAATATGTTGGTCCTATGAATTATAAAAGTCTATTCTCCGCCCTTTGAATCTATCTATTTCAGCTACTGAGTAAGACAAGGTAAATAAAAATCCAAATGTTCTATAAAAATTCTCTCTGACCTGTGCACTTTTGATCCCTTCTGGCGAGCGGTAATTGAATGATAAACCGCTGACTTGACAGGATCAAGTGCCGGCTGTGATATTTCAAGTTCCTCATCCTGGACAATTGATAAATATCTGCAGGAGATTCAATTTGTAATTTCAAGATATCTAAATTTAAACACCATTATATGAAAACTTCAGCTATATTACTATGTTTCAAAAGTTCAAGATGTCAACATTTGATAGTCTCATCATGTGCACTCCTTGTGTTGCATTTCAACAATACTCATGGCTCAATAAAAGAATATGTTAAAGAGTAAGAAACAGCTATTCTGGTCGTGCTAACCGTTTTGGGTTGAAATTCTCAACTCCAAGGTCCTCATCCCAGAGAAAAATATAATTATATTCAGCAACTATATCCGGATGCAGGAAACGTTTTGCAAACCACCTGCATCACCATAGAAAAAAAAAATTGCTTCGTTAAATGTTTCTAAGGTGTGTCTAAACTCATGTCCGCCAAATACGCTAACTTGCCACGACTGACTCTAATTTCAAAAGAGTAGTTCCAAATTTTCAATATTACCATTTCGTTTGATTCGCTGCTGACACATGTATAGCAAGATCACTCCAAGGCAAGTCCTTCCATTCATCCACAAAACCATCATAGTGAAAAAGCATCACTCTAAAATCACTGGCGGGAAACTGCAAGATAGTGACAGCTAGTTATCAGAATCACGACGAATGTTCCAAAAGCAAAATGGCATAAGAGGAGCAACCATCACCTTTTGCACAATTTTGTTCACCACCTCCTTCTGATTGATGCCAACTGCAATGGCCAGCAAGCTCAACGAAGAGTTTGAACTTTTCTGAAATGAAGGTTCCAATTTAGGCGGTAAATAAAAAGTAAATATACCTCTTGCACTATATGACTATAATCTGTCTTATTTTTAGAAAAGCTTAGTTTGTCACCACTCTATAGGCTATAGCTTTAAAAAATTTAGATCACGTGAAGTCTTAATATAATGTATGTGGTTGCGATATAACAAGTATTCTGTGTGAAAAGATGCCTTTTAGGGTAGCTAAAATGCCATAACTCCTAAGTTGGAAATTCGTCACGTACATTTTTCGGGGTAGCACCCCACAACGGTTGCATTTCCAGGTTTGATGTTTTGGCAATAATCCCTTCTGGTAGTGCCGCAGTTTCCAAAGGGTAACATCGATTCTGAGGAAAAGAGAAGCTTTATTCGAAAAATTTGAAGATGGCTTTTAAGTTCATTATGAAAAGTTTAACCAAAAAGGAGATAAACCTGACACATATTATTGTTGGGTTTGGTATTCTGCAAACCATACATAACTTTCCATCTTCCCAATCTCTGCACGCCAGATTCAAATAGCCGGTTAACATAAGTCAAGACCAGGAAATTACTACTGTTAGCCGTTTTCTTTTGCAGACTAAAACGTGTTCAAGTACAACAACGGACTAGACAGATCAGTATGACACAATATCGAATCGAGAAACAGCACGTTCTTCTTATTTTCAAGAAACAACCACGATACAGATACGTACTTCTCTGTATTCTTTGTCGATGAATGCACTGGCGATGAAGTAGGCGCCGCAAATCAAAGAAGATACAACGAACAGACTGCACAAGCACGACCTACTCTTCGGATCCGAGAGCACTGATGCCTGAGAAAACAGTAAAGAAGCACAAGAGTCTCAGATTTCATTGTCACATTTAGTAAACACCATAATTCTAATGATCCAACCAAAAGGTTCTGGGTTCAAATTAATCCCACAGCAATGGACGGGGTATATGAGAAATCCACTTTGCAAGCAATCCATATACCATGCAGGGATGTACTATCTTCCAGGACTATATGACCCTCTTTTATTATATACAAAATATATATAAACGCGTATATATATATATATATATATATATTGTTTGAGAAAATTCACACTTGTTAGATTTCTCAGCCATATTTTACCACTAAGCTGTAATGTAAAATTAAAAAAAAAAAATTTAAAAAAAACCTTAAAAAGTTCAAATGGTCTTAAAACACGAGGAACAGTGGGGAACAATTGAGAATTAAATTGGCCTCTGTTTCCACTCTGTTTGGTTAATGAGAAAATCCAGTGCTAAGAACAGAATAAGAGAGATATACAGAGATTTGGTGAGCTCAAAAGGGTAGCCCAGAAATCCGCTCTCGTCCCTCTTATAGTCTTCAACAGTCGAAAACAATTCAATTCATTTCTCGTTCCTTAGAGACCGTCAAAAGCAAGTTTAGCCAAAAAAAAAAGTCCTTGGTTATGATGCTATAGAGATATTTCCAAAGAAGAAAACAGTGCCTTTACTATCCGATTCCTCTACCAACTTTCTCAGTAACCAAACAAACAATATAAATGTGAGAACTGAAGTCGTTATAATCCAAAGCCACATAGAAAATGATAATCACAGTTTTTTAATTACCAATAAACATCAGTAAACAATCCAAAACAAAAAGGCAAAAAACGAATTGGAAGAATCTTCAATTCATAAAAAAAAAAAAGAATCTTCCCTGACAAAACCCAGATATTGATTTCACTTTCATTTTCATTTACTTTTCTCTCGCGAACTAGAAAGAAGCAGAAGAAAAAAAAATACAATTTACAAGAAAAAAATAAAAAAATAAAAAAACGGTTAACTTCCACCACCACCAACCACAAACATGTTTGAAATTTGAAAATGGAAACAAAACAAACGGCAAAAATTGTAATAACCCAATTCCCAGGACACTCGTAAGATTTCACTACAACCACCTTAAACCAATACAAACACACAAACATATATATACATACACACACACACACACACACACACATATATATATATATAGAGAGAGAGAGAGAGAGTCATATGAAGAGAAGACATACGGAATCAACAGAAGCCTTCATCATTCTCAAACAGGAGGAAACAAGCTTGAAAGGAAAGAGTTTTTTTTTTCCTTCTTTTCTCTCTTTTCTCTTTTCTAGTTTCTCTTTCAGAGGAAAAGACCGAAAGTTAAAGAAAAGAATGAAGGACAGTGATGAGGAGACAACCCAAATGGGGGAAGAGAAAAGAAAGCGAAATTCTTTTTTTTTATTTTTATAATTATTGTTTATGTCTATGTTATTTTTACACACATTTGTAAATTACCAAATAAAATACAATTATTATATACAAACAGAAGGTGGAGTGATTATTGAAAAATATAAATAAGTAAATAAAGGTGGGTAGAGCTTAGAAGTGGGGAATTGTTTATATTAAAAAGAAGAAGTGGGGAATTTATTTATTTTTAAAAAAAAAAGAAAAAGAAAAAAGACATGCAAAAAAAAGGTGACGACACGAACAAAACCTTTCCAAAGTGTTGAAGAAGAGGAAAAAGAAAAGGTTAATAATTAGTAAGAGATTATGGCATTTTTTTCCGGCTAATGAAAGAGACTCTGGCCAATTTGACCATTAATTAGTGCGAACTTTGGAGAGAATATGAGATAAGCATAATTACAAAGGAAAGAATCCTATTCTTATCTGTATTTTGATTACTCATTTATTTTGGTGGATTATGAAAATGAGAATCCCACTACAATTGTCACTTTTTACTTCTACTTTTTAATTAATTTATTTTCTTTAATTTTTCTTACTTGTCCCCCCTTAATTTGTTTGGATTCTTTTAGGGGATTTGTTTCGATTTAAGGAAGGGAAGTTTTGAGAGTCCAGGGAGGATATAAGATTCCTTAAAGCAGTTATGAGTTATGAACTCTTGTTGACAAGTCACGCAAGCTTTTCCCTAATTTAAAAAAAAAAAAGAAGTGAAACAAAGCCAAAAAATATATATATTTAGTGTGGTGTCTTTGTCCTTTAAATTTTTAATTTTTATAAATTATTTCGTTAGACTCGTTTGATACGCAAGACAAAACAACATTAGATATGATAGTTTTAGAGTAATTGATTGGAATGTAGAGGAAATGATAGGATTAAGTTTTAGTTTAATCTAGTCCAATGTTTGGTCTTGTGTTATTAAGATAATGGTTTTTTTGCAACAAATTTTAAAATTTTTGAGATCAAATTGTAATTTCTCAACACTTGAGAGGCAAAAATTTAAGTTTTTAAAATATTTTACTCAGATAAAAATTGCATTTTGACCCTCAATTTTAAAAATATTATAATTGAGCCCTAAATTTTATGAAAACTCACAAATAAGTCCTTAATGTTTTTCACAAATAAATCATTAATGTTAAAAGTTATCACATGCTTCAGCAAGGGATAACAATATCCCATTTTAAGAGGATTTGAGCATGGACTAGACAAAAAAATTATCCAATCCAGTCCCTTAAAAATATTCACCAAACACAGTATTAGAATTTAATCATATCTAATCGTCCCTAATTATGTGTACCATTAGGATATCGATCTCTGCAATAATTAAACCCACTTTCTTGAGTGTATAGGAGCGCTACAGAGTCTTAAATACCAGAGTAGACCAATGATCTTTTAAAATGTTACACAACCCCAATCAAATAACTACAATTAAATTCATACAAAAACATCATTGTACAAGTATGCAAAATTTCATTAAATGCTCTTCAAAGGAGCTTATGTAACGTGTATGAGAGTATGATAATCTAATATGTAGTCAATATCATCGATTTAATTTTGTAATTATTTTATTACATTTTCAAAATAAAATGCATTTAGTAAGGAACTACTTTACATCACCTTTTTTTGTAAAAAAAAGGAAAGAAATTTTGCAGTGAATTAAATTATTAGAGGATGTTTGGTTGGAAGATTCAAACCATGATTTGAATCATGGTTCATAGTTTGTTACAGTGTTTTTTCTCACAAACTAATCACATGATTCTAATCCATGAACTAAACGTCTCCTTAAGAATTTGAATCATAAATTAAGCATTTTTTTTTAAAGTTAAGGGGCATTTTAATATTTTGTTTGGAATGAGGGAAAACTGAAAACAAATAACGACCAAATAACGACGAGAGAGAGAGGGGAGAGAGAGAGAGAGGAGAGAGAGAGAGAGTTAGGCGGTGTTTTGTTTGTTGTGGTGGGAGAAGTGCCCGAACTGCTTGTGGTGATGGGTCCTACACTTTCTACTCTACGGCTGCACTTATCGTATGTTACGCTTTCTAGTTTCTACTTCCAAACTACTGTCCTTTTTCCACGTGGCTTTCATGCTTTTCCCTTCGGTGTACTTTCATAGTTTGGCCTATGTTTTTCTTTTTTTCATTTTCAGGCAAAGTTTTCCCATTTATTTATTTATTTATTCTTTTTTCCATTTCTTCCCTTTTTTTTTCGCTCTATTCTTGCAGCTTTAAAAAGGATGACGTTGTTTTCCTCCAAAAAAAAAAAAAAGGATGATTTTTTATGGTCTTAAAAATAATGAAGATAATAATTAAAAAAACATAGTCATTTATAGATAATGGGAAAAGTTTTTTTTTCTTTTTTTAGGGCAGGAGGGAAAGGAAAATTGTTTTTTTTTTGGTAATGACTTTTTAGAAATTGATTAATGCGTGCTTAATTAAGTAGGAAAAATGTTAATACTAGTATGCATATCTCTTAGCACAAAAAAAAAAGAATAAATTCATGAGAGGTCTCTGAATTTTTTTTTATCTCTCTTAAATTAGTCTATGTAATTAAATTTGTCTCATAAATAATCATTGAATTGAAAAAATATCGCATAAATGATCTATCGGTTAAACTTTTGAATGAAAATCGTTATATTAGATGGTAGTTATGATTTTGCGTTATTTCTTTTCTTTTTTCTTATTTATTTATTTATTTATGTTATGAAATAACTAAACTATTTCTCATGAAGTAGATAGAATTTAGACTCTTCCTTCTTAATGTTAGGATTATTGTAAGGAACTATTATTATTATTATTATAATAATAATAATTATTATTATTATTATTTTATAGTTTTATGGATATTTCCACCTTTACTAATTGAGAAAAAAAGCACTACAAAGAATGCCGCCCACTTTATCAGTAAATTCTTTTATCTTAATACTTGATAGAAATAATAACTAGTCATAGCTTAATTTGACCATAATGTATTGACCCAAGAAGAAGAAGTTCTATCTTAATACTTTATAGAATTAATAACTAGTCATAGCTTAATAATTTGACCATAATGTATTGACCCATTGATAGAATTAATAACTAAGCTAATTTGATCATAATGTATTGACCCAATAATTAATAACTAGTCATAGCTTAATAATTTGACCATAATGTATTGACCCAAGAAGAAGAAGAAGGAGGAGAAGGAGAAGAAGAAGGAGGAGGAGAAGGAGATAGAAGAAGAAGAAGAAGAAGGAGAAGGAGAAGAAGAAGAAGGATAAGGAGAAGAAGAAGATAATGCAGCAAGAAGAAGAAGAAGATAATGCAACAAGATAATGCAGCAATACGTATACAAGTGCATGAGAAAAAGATAATGCACAATACATGGAGTAGTAGAAGTTTTGAAACAAAAAGAAAACCATCAATTGCAATACGTATACAAGTGCATGAGAAAAGAGGTATATATATATAATGCTTGTACAATTGAAACAATAATAATAATTTCATAATAATTATTTTAACCGTGTAAGAGATGTTGCATCCGTTTAAAAACACAACTTTACTCTGATCAAATTTGATTCAAACAACAAAAATAACAATTTAGAGATTAATTGTAGAGAAAAATATTAATTACCAATTTTAGAGAAGTAAAAAATATTTAGAGATCTCAAATAAGACAATAGTGTAAAATAACTTAAAAATCATAACTACTATCTAATTTAACAGATTCCATCTAAAATTTTAACAGATGGACTACTTATAAGATACTTTTTCAGTTGAGAGACTATTAATAAGACAAATTTGACTACAAGGGTTAATTTTAGAGAGAGAAAAGAATTGAAGGACCATTGATGAATTTATTTAAAAAAAAAGTTCTAGGCGCAAAATCACCCATTTCTCTCCATTTTTGTTTCTTAATTAAAAAAAAAAAAAAAACCCTGAATTCAAGCGTATTACGAAATATACTATTATGAACTCAGGTTTGGGTCTTTCATCACAATTGTCGAGGTATGAATACTACACTCAAGCCAGTTGATTGACCGAGAATTATTTTGTAAATAATAAGGAAAGTTGAGAATTGTAATTTATTTGTCACTGATATTAAAAAAAAAAAAAAAAAAAAAAAAAAAAAAAAAAAAAACAGGTGGTGGTGATTGTTGTTAAGTTGCTCGTGAAGATAATGTAGCAACCCACACACTTGCATTTTTTTTTTTATTAATGAAGAATTGTTTTGACTAGAAGCGTCTAACTAATGACTCCATTTATTTCACCGATTTGAGTTTTACTACAGTAAAAAACTCTAAA